GACCTTGCCTCTAAAGAGCCTGTCACCTCCCTTACCATTGAGGGTCCCACTGCCTAGAACTGACATGAGCAGCCCATAAAACCACCAATGTTCCTCTACGTCTCTGAAAACCTATCGCACTATTCACTTACTGGTTTGGGTTTTAATGAAGTTACAGTGAAGCAAACCTTGACAACCACATGACAGCTCTAGGTTAGGAAATGCCCTATACCCTGCCTGGGTCAACATCCTCCGCATTTCCTATGTAATATACCCCCCACTTTTCCCTCCTTACAAAGTGCATGCCTCCAACCAAGCCTTATTGTACAAGGTGGAACCCTGTCTCAAAATAAAAAGGAGCAGAGCTGTACCTTTACAGCCCTCTGGTAGCTCCCTGATAAGAGTCCTTGACTAGCATGTACAAAACCCGTGTGCGTGCTCTGTCTCTCTCTCTCTCTCTCTCTCTCTCTCTCTCTCTCTCTCTCTCTCTCTCTCTCTCTCTCTCTCTCTCTCTCTCTCACACACACACACACACACACACACACACAGAGCAATGACTGTGGTTTTCTCTTCACGCAGACTCCCAGCCTGCACACCTGTACATAATCATCATTTACAAAGAGAGATCTGCCTTCCCACTCCTGTTCCCAACCACGCCACACTAACTTTCACTGCATGTATTACTCTCAACTCACACCCCACTTCTGTAAGCCAGAAGGACAAACAGGTTCTGCCATCAGCAAAGAAACAGAAAGCCAAGCACCACAGGCCAATGCCTGGCAGCCATTCCAAAGGTCCCTCACCCCCTTCATGAAGGCACCTTTGTTCCCACAAATAAAGGGTGTCCCGAGAGTCAGCCACTGACCAAAGGCTGTCACTCAGGCTTCCCTTCTTACTGTCCAGGGCAATGAAACATGCCAGCGTTTCCAACTGTCGCTCCCCAACCTGCATCACTACAGGAGTTAAGACGGACCTGGGTCCAGAGAGTCGAAATGTGCCAGATGATGTGAACTCTGCAGGTTCACACCTTGCAAACAGAGGTGGGCAGCACAGGCAACCGGAGGAGGAAAGGTCACCAGCCCAGGGCACAGCAGGAGGGCAGGAGGCCCAGGCTGCAGGAGAGAGGCAATGAGAAAGGGCAGCTCAGACGCAACTGGCAGCTACAGCTGCATTTGGCACGTCCACACGGCATGCAGCCACCTGCTCCCCAACCTGGAGTCACCAGGACCCCTAATGCTACATGGAGGAAGAGCCAGGAGTATACCAGAGGAACACCGTATGTGTCATGTCAGCTCAGACGGCACTGAGACCAGGGATGGTGTAAGGGACTCAGAAGACAACACAGGACAACAGAACCTCTGCTTGTCAAGGCCATCCATGAGCAATGAGCCTTTGGACAGTGTCTGCAGCCACTGGTCCCAGGATGTTCATCCCCCAGACAGACAGTCACCAGTTGTGGAGAGGAAATATAGCAGCCCTTAAATAACCACTAATTTCCTCTCAACTTTTACTAAGTGGTCAGTTTTGCACAAGACAGCTCCTTGTTTTACAAATGCATTGCACCAAACCAGAGAATCATCATCGTAACCACCCTGGCAGGATGGAAGATATTCTAAAGATCCTGGAGTGCCCCTCCCTTTGCCCATCAGACTGTTGAGACAATAGTTCCCAAAGAACTGGAATTTCCCCCAGGAAACTCATGCTGGGAGACGGGGAAAGCTAAAGCCTAATGCCAGTCCAAGGACAACTGTCTGCCAGGAAGAGTTCATACAGTTCTGGCATCTAGTCAGACCACCTTGTAGGAGAGGAGAGGCCAAAGATGAGGGGTAGGACTAGGATTGCTCAACTACGTGAACCTCTGTTTAAACCTAACGGAGTATCATGAAGACTTACTGGGTGTCTGGGTGGGGGTGGGAGTGTACCGGACCTCTGTGAGCACACTGAATAAGTTTTCTTTTTCTGTCTTCCTATGATTTGTCTCTTTAATGACGTGTTGAGGATGAATGGCCCAAGCGAGGGCCCAGGCTGTGACTAACTCAGAACAGACTCAGTGAGCATGTCTAGCCTCAGTAAATGCACTGCTGCAGGCAAAGACACCATGTCTGGATGACCTTGGGAACCTTTGCTGAGCCTGAGAGATGACCTCACAGGCATAGTGTCAGAATTACTCACTGAATGACAACCAGGAAAACAAAAACTGTTCTCAGGTAACCTGGCCAGTCACATGGTTAGTGTTCTCACAGTGACATCTGAAAACATGCACAAGCCAACTCGACTTCCAAGGCCAATGCCAGAGGGCTCTCAGCCAATGCAGGGCCAGGAGTGCAAGGAATATTGGGTGTTTTCTGTACTAAGAAGTGACACCGTGGACTGCGGGGACAAACCCTCCTGTGCAGGTGTCACACAGGGGAGACTGCACCACACAACCCAGTGCAGGCAGCAGTAACAGCAGTGACAGCAGTGGCGGTCACCCCCACTCTTCACGTACCTTCCCTGCTTTACGGAGAGTCACACACGGATAAAAACCAGAAAGAGCCCTAGCTCAGACCCCACACAGCAAAGGGACCGACCAGGACATCCACATGGATCCCTGCATCGGCTCTAACACACGGTGTAATCTTCACAGTTCAGCAGCCTGAACCTCCCCAAGAATCTGCTGAAACAGATCAGAAGGACCTCTGGGTAACAAGGTAGTGGAAAAGGGGTCTGAGCACTTAACACAGAGTTGACGTGTGCGTGGTCATCTTAGAGAAAAGCACAAATACAGGGTGGGAGGGGCAGGGACAAAGGCAGAGAGTCATTTCGGTCTAAAAGCTAAGCGCATGACAGTAGTGTCACTGTAACTTGCAGCTTCCTACATCCTGGAAATGCCACCACTGTCCTAAAACAGTGATTCACTGAGTCACTCACTGCTTGGAGTGAGGTCAGGGTCAGCTGACCTACTGCACAGCCAGTCACGTAAGACAGTGAGAGAGTGGATGTATTCCCTATGCTGTAACTTTTGTCAGAGTATATTCCTACCTTTTTTTTTTTAAAGATTTCCAACCTAATTTCCTATCATGTATTAATTTCCTATCATGTATTAATTTCCTATCACGTATATGCGGGTTTGTCTGCATGTAACCAGGTGCGTGCAGTGCCTGAGGAGGCCAAAAGGTGTTGGATCCCCTGCAACTGGAGTCACAGGTGATTATGAGCTGCCATGTGGGTGCTAGGATCCAAACTCAGGTCCTCTGGAACAGCAGTCAGTGCTCTTAACCACTAAGCCATCTCTCTGACTGCCAGAGGAGGTGACAGTTCCATGTGTTACTGCCTCTGAAGACTTCCTAGGGAGACAACACATGGAGGTAGAAGATAATGGCGACGGTGACCTGACCCTGGTTAGCCTCAGCTAGTAAACAGACACAAATTAGTATACACATACACGTTGCACAAATACACATAAGCAAATTCACAGGCATAGCAACCAGTAATCATACGCAATAAGCACACGCATAGGGACAGTATAAACAACAAACACGTACAAAATTTACAAACATAATACACAGTCATATAAATACAGCAAATGCATATGTAACACATATATTCATACAAACATAATAATTATAGGTAACCATAATACGTACATCTATGTCCCCATACACTTGTAACAAATACACGCATAACACATATACAAACGTGTCTCAAGACCCTGCCTATGCAGTTCACTGAGAGTAAAGGGGAGGGTTGGCAGCGCCCCTAGGCCGCCCTGAAACCCACAAGGGCAGCCTGGGTTTGTGCCTATGGTACTCTGCCCTCTGTGCTCTCTCGGGAATTTATAGTTGGTAGAAGCCCCTTCAATGACGTCAGTCACGCAGCTCACATTCCCAGAGAAAGGAGACCTTTGAGGGCATTCAGGAGGCACAATGACAAGAGCCTTCTTGTGAACAAGGCATCTCTGACGTGCCACCCAGCATCCCTTTGCTTTCGTTTGGCTGCCAGCTAGGTTACGGAGCACCATCACCATCCTCACAGGAAACAGAAGGAAGCTGAGACTCAGCTGTGAGGCCAGGATCGGAGCCTGGCTTCTTCACAACAAGGCTGCTGTGCGACCTCCCAGCGGAGCCCTCAGAGAATGCTCTACCACCCTACAAGACTGAGAGAACCAGCCCCGTCTGGAGAGCCCTGGGCTCCATCCACAAAGACATGAAGGCAGAAAAACAAAGGCCCCCACTGAGTCATCAGGTGCTACATGGGGAAGGCGGGGTGGCAGCATGACCCCATCCAGTTGAGGAAAGTCAGGCAACACACAAAAAGCACCCTGGAAGAGGTCGCAGGCTTGCTGCTTTCCCTCACAAGCCAGGCCATGACGTGTGCACCCCACGAGCAGCTGCAGGCAGTGGCATCACAGCGGCCTCTGCAGGGCCTCTCCTGACTGACACTGAGAAGACTACCTGTTCCCTACCTCCCAGGCCACAGGCCTCCTGCCAGTCAAGAAGTCACTGGAAACAATGGGTCCTGGGACCCAGAAAGCACAGAGGGCAGGTTGCCACGACATTCAAAGCAGAGTCATTTACGAAGAAGAGGGAAATTTTACATTCATCCGATAACGAGCCAAAGAGAAAGTGCTGCTATGTCTACTACGGTCAGTGAGATAAAGGCACAACGTGTGTCAGAGGCAAACTTTCCGGCATTGCTGGGTCATTTACAAAGGCAACCTGGGACAGTGGTACTGAAAAGTCAGGGGGGCCAAGCCCCAAAGTTAAATGCTACTGATCCTCCTAAAGGTTGCTGCTACAGAAGAGTACAGGTATTTTATATCTTTTTGTTTGTTTGTTTGTTTTTCCGAACTCAGAGATCTGCCTGCCTCCGCCTCCCAAGTGCTGGAACTAAGGGTGTTCCCATGTTCAACAGGATTTTCTATATTAATGAAAACAAACGGAGTATGCTTCCACCCTCCAGGTGACAAAAGTCCCCAAAGCATAAACAAAAAGACCACCCTACCTGACATAAGAAGTCCCAAAGGGAAGTAACGGTCTTACCTGGCCGGGGTGTAGTTGCACAGAGCAGGGACTCGCCACCTTGAAACGGAAAACAAACATAAGCAAGGGTTCTCAGGCAACGTGCACGGTAGCCAAAGCGGGTTCCCCGAGGCTGAGGCTGTGTCACCTTGTCACAATACCCGGAGTCAACAGTATCCACATTCTGCTAACTCTGAGAAGTTCGGGTCCTTTTTGAGAATTTCTGGGAGTCAGTGGAGACACACCCATCCAAAAGGGGGGTAAAAATCTGCACATCATTCATAAAAACAGAAGTTCGCCTTGAATTTCAAGCAACTGGTGCACTCTCATGCTTCCTCACTGGGGAGCTTGAGAAGTGCGGCCCAGAGAAGGCGGAGGGTTCTGAAGGGTGATTTCAAGCTGCCCACAGTCTTTACATTCACAGTCGGGGACGTATTTTCTCTGTAAAACGGCTGCTGCCTCTAGAACCATCTATGCATATGTATTTATTCCTGCCAGCCCTGCTGCCACGTGAGGGGGGCGGGGGAGGGGAAGGACTTCCCATTGACTCTCCCACAGGCATCCAAGGAAAAGCTATGAGACCTCAGCTAAACCCCAAGCTGGCAGAGCACCTTGTAAGCACGGCAGGTGTGCAGGATCCGAGAGTTGCTAGCACAGAGACTGCTCTGTCCCTGAGTTAAAAGGCCCTGTGTGAGTCAAGACGTTGGACTTGCTTCCTGTCTGTTTGGGAGGCGCTGAGGACCTTGCCGCTGTGGCCTGCCACACTCTCCTGCTTTCTCCTGGCTCTCCCACCTCAGACCCCTGGCTCATTCCAGTTCTCAAAGAGTTCTCTGAAACTGTGGAGAAGGAGTCACAAGGGGTCTGACCAGTCACTGTAGTTTACACTTTGGAGCAGCAGAGGCAGCAGTATGACCTTGGTCCCTAATGTGGACACTATTTATAGGCCTCTGGCTTATCTCGTTCAGTAAGTTTCTCAAGAAATATGTGACACATGGCCACTCATCTGTCTGGGACACCCATTATTCCACCAGGAAGGTGACTCACATTCTTGGCAGAGACAGGGGTCCACTGTCTTTGCACCCACCCCTCCCTCTAACCACACCCACATCTCTTCTGTACCCAAACTGCAACTGGCAGGCAGAAACATGTGTTCTGAATTTGTGTGTCCTCAGCTCCCCATGTGCATATAAAATTTTGATGGGTAGATGGGAGAAGGAGCCCATAAATAAATGTAAAGTGAAAACTGACATTTGGCTTTGGAAACACAGGAAGCTGGTGACAGAACCTTATAAGACAGTGACTACACACTGGATCAAGGGGAACCCATGGTTAACGGAACACTGTGACTCACTCCATTCCAATGAGCCTTCACTGGGGGCACACAGGCATCCTGGTGCCTTGTGACATAGTCACACTGGTAAGGAACGGAGGAGGAATCAGTCTCTGCCTTTAGGATGTCACCTGTATTCCATGACATGGAGTAATATTCATCACTAAGCAGAAACGACCTAAAGGACATGAACAGTCACAGAGGCACACTGAATGTATACTACTAAGATGAAGCAGCTACCTGCAACAAGAAAATGCCCGATTATAGAAACTATAAAACACAAGCAGTTATCAGGGGCTGAGGGACGAGATGAGTAAGAGGAACAACATACAACGCTGAGAGCCGTTGAACTGTTGTTCTGTTCTGACTGACATTGTCGTGGTGGGTAGGCTTGTGGACTTTGGTTAATGATGTATCAGTATTGACTCATCAAGCATTTTGCATTATACAGATTTTTAAAATACACCAAACACATGCTTAATTTTCTATAAATAGAGAAGTATTCTAAATATAAAGTTTATCAATATTTTCAAGTAATTGATCAAAAGCATGTGTGGAAGGAGTTCCTATGCTATACCAGAAACAAGTTTAGTAAGAACCAGAAACAAGTTTAACAAGAACAGCTAGGGGCTAGGCGTGAACACACATCTTTAATCCCAGAACCTGGGAGATAGAGGCAGGTGAATCTGTCAGTTTGAATCGAGCCTGGTCTACATAGAGAGTTCAGGCCAGGCAAGGATACACAGTGAGATCTGGTCTAAAACTAACACACTCACACACACACACACACAGTTGGGGGAGGTCAGATGTTTTCTGTATCCTATATCCCCTATAAACAAGTGATATGCCAAGTGCAGCCCTGGGGACTGCAAATGAGAGTAGAGGCTAATCAATAATGTCCTGGCCAGACCATCGAGGAAACTCATCAAGATGTGTCCTTCCAATGTAGCTGTGACCAGATATCCGGACAGGACACACTTGGGTGTAAGTGGTATTTCCAGTTTACTCCTCCTTGTTTAGACTAAGGAGGGTGATTGCCCACAGTCGGAACCATGAACAGAGGCTGCCTCTCTCAGGCTGCCAGTGTTCCTGGTTCATGCCAGTCTGTTTGGCACTAAGAAGCACGTGGACACTCAGCAGCACTGTGACTGGGCTCCTTGGCTGCTTTTGTGGGCTCTTAGCTTCCACCTCCCATCTGACCTGTCCAGAAGAGCAGGACACCACTTCTCCACACTTGCTTCTCTTCATCGGAGCCCAAAAAGCTCTGGGACTCATCATTACTACTGCTCCCACAGAACCCCCTGCCCACCCCAACTTCGCCTCCTGAGGATGAAGAGCCAGGAGACATAGCAAGAGCTGCCCAGGGTCCAGACCAGAATGGCAGGCACCTCATATTATTTGCCTGTTCCTCATCTTCAGCTGCAGCTCTGATCAAACACTCTGGCCTCTTAGCCCTTTTCACGTGACTGAGGGAAACACACTGTGCCTGGGATATCTCCGGGCTCTTCTCGGGATACATCATCCAAGGCCATATTGCGCTGAATACTGAGTAGCAAACTCCAATGCAGTGGGCCTGGACTAGGGCCGAGTGCCAACGCATCCTCAGGTCTGGTCCTACAGGTGTGTCTACCCAGGAATCTCTGAGCTGAGTTAGCTCCTTCCGTATATGTTCCATGGTATGCACCTGCCATCCAGGGCAGAGATTTTAAATATGCACAAGTTGTGAGCAAGCTGCAGAAGGGTGGAGACTAGAGGCCTGCCCACTGCCATGCCAGCACCAGGACACACCCCCTGGGGGCGGTGCATGTGCAGGCTCAACTCGGCTCGATAAGCCTGCCCTAAAGACACGCCTGTCCTCAGCTCTTTTGTCCTGAACCCTACCAACACAGAAAGCCGGTGCGTTCTTTCCTGTGCTTGAGGACTGCTCCTCGGAGAGACAAGACCCAGTGGGACCCCAGTTGCCATCCCCTCCTCCTGATGAGAGCTACAGACCCTGAGCTACCAGCAGCAGATCTTGGAACCCATGTCCTTCTCTTGACCTGACCCAGGGCCCCCCTTAGAGACCTGTCTAAGAGCCATTTTATGGCCTTTACTTGGCTTTGTCTGTGGCCTAATCTGTGGTTACCAAGGACAACCACAAACAAACAAGGCTGTGCCCAACCCACACCTGGCTGTGTGGGTGCCTGGAGCCACTGTGTTGATAACCTTGTCTCCAAGCCAGTAGGTCATCAAGGCGGAAGTAGGAGGGGTCTACAGCCTTCCACTCACGACTGCCCCAGTAGTGGGTGGTTGAATGTGTCAAGGGCAGTGTGCACATTTAAAATTGAGGGACTGGGAGGTTTGTCTAGAATGTGTGATTCCCCCAAAATTGACCATTTTTTAAACATGTGTGTGTTGGTATGACAGTCTGTGTATAAGTCTGAGAGTCCTGTGAGTGAGCCCTAATGTGAGGGAGTAGCTGAGTGTCTACATGTGGATGTGTATATGTGTACTCGTGTGTGTTCATGCATGCCTTGTGGGAATATGTGAGTCTGTGAGTATGTCTATGTGTCAGAATGTCTGCATGTCTGTCTGTGAGATGCCCATGTGACCATGGTCTGTTAGTGCACCCACAGAGTCCTGTAGCCCTGAACTCAGGGCAAGAAGCAGAGCTTTGGTGAGCAAACGAGTCCTTTAAAAGGAAAGCTTCAGCCACAGCCTGCTGCCTCTGCCCCCTCACCATGGTACTGGGAGAGGACCAAGGTCTACTGTGACTACCATTCAGGACACCAAAGTCCCTTGAAAGAGAAAGGATAACCCAGTTCAACACAGTTTGTAGACCCTGTCTTCCTTCTCATTCACACAATTAAACCACAAATTCAAACACTGGTTGTCAAGTTCAATTCATTTTCATTTTGGCCAAGCCATGCCAAGAGTGATTATTTTCCTACCAGTTTCTCTAAGAGATGCATGGTTACTACATAAACAAAATAAAGGTGAGTTTGCATTGAACCTTTTGGGAATCATCAAAACTTCCGATCCTGTTGGGTCCCATGGGTGAGCTTCTTAGAACATCACAGAGCTCTGAAGGATGGAGAGACAGGACCCTCCAGTGTCCGGCATGTTTTACTGATTCACCACCACTGCAGGTGCCTGTGCTGGCTGGTCCCTTTTCTCGTTTCTCTAGTCTCCATTTATTCTGCCCATGGAAGAGCTCTCTGAAGTTAGCATCGAGTATGTGCGCACAGAGATCCAGAAAGGAGGACAGTCAACCCAGCAACATCACCCTTCAGCACCCAAAGGCAAGTGCACACTGCGGCTGGGGTTGCAGAATGCCAGAGCCCAGCATGCACCACGCCCTGAGTTTGAGCCCCTGCACCAAAACAAATGCATCAATAAAAAAAAAGCAGGTAATTTCCAATAAATTCACCACAGCCCTTCAGGTAAGACAAAGGAGTAGAGGAGGAAGGTGGGCCACCGCCACCTCAGCACTGTGCGTGGGAGAGAAATCAATGCATTGCACAAGGAAAGAACCATCTTGGCACTCAAGTTACGTGAAATCGCTTTGATGAAAATAATGTGACTCAGGACTGCATAAAACTCGAGGTGAAATTTACTTCAGCTTCAACACCAAGCCAGAAGGGCAACAATTTCCTTCCAAATTGGGAGAATGGAAGAAATACTGTGGCTTCCTGGACTTGGGAGAAGTCGGCAAAGATGCCGGTGGCTGGCCACTGAGACCCACAATGCA